AAATAAGACTATGCAGAGTAGCAACAGAGCAGGAACACGGGGGCAACAGGAAACTCCCAACCACAGATCCAGATCCAGGAATATCTGCAGAAAGTGTTAGGAGGAGAGAGAAGGGGGACGAGAAAGCGCACGACTACGGGGAAGGGAGAGAGTCCAGTTATCATAACCACCGACGGGTAAAACATCCTCGGCGTGATGTTACAGTGGGCGGAGCCTCCTCAGGAAACGGCTGCAGAGTCGCCTGCAGGAGTAGAACTGAAAGTGTTCTCCAGTCATATATGTGCGGGGCGAACAGGAAACAGGAAAGAACGGTTCCCTGTGGGGCTAGTTAGCTTGTTAGCGAGCAACCTCGCGTTCCCCATGATGATGGAAGGTAGATGAGGTTCACACGTCCACTTCTTCCCCCCGTGTTTACGTCCAGCCGATCGTAGCAACACCAACTCATCCCGAGTGTAAACGGTGTTGATTCCAGATGAGGTCAGACTCGAGAAGAATCCTCCAAAAGATGAGACACACGGACGAAAAAGGGAAAATAAATCCCCAAACCCAGTAGGTCAACATTAGACTGTAAGAAACTGGTGGCTGAAAACCATAAGAAGAAAAGAGTTAAAGATGTGGACATTCATGGATTCAGTTTGAAACTCTTTGTACTTTTTTCTTTTAGTTTGAATTTGTATGTAATGAATCAACAGCATTTTAATATCATGTAATTTAATCATTTCTGGTTAAATTATTTTTTTAAATTTAATTTCACTCATGCATGTGTATATCTTTATGAGCTGTGTCTCAGATTTAATGTTCCATTTGTATTAATCAAATTCCGTCTTATTAAATCCTGGTCTCATATTTTTATGCAGGATAATTATCTATTATCAGTGTGACAGCACCCGGGAATCATTGTGGAATTGTGAGAAAATTTTAAAAAATGCTAATATTTAAGAATTATCTCAAAACCGATAGCTAAAAACTTGTTCTACCTTTGTAAGAATGTGGTTTTGCTTCTTATTCTTTTGTATTATTTTCCACTATCCAAGCCTACTTACATGTAATCCTCCATGAGAGTTTGTATTATTGAGTTTTGTTTGTTTTTCAACTTTTCTGAACATAATAAATAAATATATTTTTTAAAACGTCATGTAACGTATCGAAGAATACCAGAACTGTATCAGAAATCGATCTAAGTACTCAAAAGAGTTTTTTAAGGCCGAGGAAGTGGAACCACAACAGCTTCTGGAACCTGCTCGATAATACCGAGCGAAGAAGAAGAGTGGCGTTACCCACAGTGCTTTGCGACTTCCGGCTCCAGCCATTCCAATTCCTAAGATGGCGGACCGGCGGCGACGGAGGACGCGCGCGTCCCAGGACAGCGAGGACGACGACGAGTCGGGCTCGGGCTCGGACAGCGGCAGGTCCGGGTCCCCCTCCACCAAGGCCCGGGCCCGGGACCCGGAGCCCGCGGAGGTCACGGCCGCCCGGGAGGAGCCCAAAGCCGGGGTGGAGTCCGAGTGTGTGAGTAGCCGCTCCGGCTAACTAGCGCCGGTTAGCCCCGGTCGGTCCCCGGTCCCCGGTGCGCGGATCCCGGGGGGGAGCCCCGCGGTGAGCCGGTCCCGGGAACCGGAAGCGAGTCTTCCCACTGGGTGGGGGGGGTTATCAGTATCTACCCGGAGGGGGTCCAGTTGTAAAAAGGAACTTAACTGAAAGTAGTTCAGCTTTTTTTCGCGAACCCGCGATCGAACTTTCGGCCGGTCAACCGTCCGCCAACGGTTTTAACGGTTCCTAATTTTTGAGGAGGAAGCAGCTTCAGAAGCAAGTTTGTTTCTTTTTAACACATTTTTTTGTACGATTAATTTAATGCTCAGAGTAATCTACGTCGACATCTGTTTTCTGACTGTCCGAACAGCCCAAATCTGACTGTTTTCTGACTGACCCCTCTGGGCCTGACAGCGGCTGTCCCCTCTATCTGGGTCCCCTATGTCCCCTCTATCTGGGTCCCCTATAACCCCTATAACCATTTATCATCACTATGACAATAAGCTATCCAGAGGAGAAACCCTGATCAGGGTCAGTGGTGAGATAGAGGTAGAGGGACTACAGAAGGAGCTGTGGGGGGTAGAGGTACGGGTTAGGGTTAGGATAGGAGCTGTGGGGGGTAGAGGTACGGGTTAGGGTTAGGATAGGAGCTGTGGGGTTGTCACGATACTAAAATGTTCAACTGATACTCAGGAAAATACTCGATACCATTTTTATACCACAAGGATAAAAACAAAGACCCCAAAACTTAACTGAATTGTGTCTTTCATTTCAAACTGACCTGTTACTGATGTTATCCTGACTGGTGGCCTGCATTAATGACCCTAATCCTAACCCTAACCTTAACCCTATCCCTCCAGCCTTCATAAGTGTGAGAAATAAATATTTTTTGGTTAAACTTGTTTTAACATCCACTATTTTAATAATATGTATAAAGTTTAATTCAGTGTTCAAAAGATTAATTTCACTATTTTTAAATGAATGTCTATATTGCCATGAAGCAATTAGGATTTTCTTGGCTGGGATCTTCCTATTGGTGACCTAATCCAAATGGCCGACTTGGATGTGGGCGGAGTTAGATATGTACTTGATTAATGGTAGCGTGTTGTTATTAGCCATTAGCCGCAGCTAGCAATTAATGCTAACGTCTTGTTAATGATCATAAACAACGTAAATGAATACATAAATAAATCAGAGAGGGGGTGGTATCGATACTTTTGAAAATGAGTATCGTATCCGGATACAACTTTTTAGTATCCATACTTTTGAAAATGAGATTATTAAGTCAGAAAAATTCAATTTCATTAAAAATGAAAATTGTCTTACAGTCAAGTGTTTATGTTGCAGAAAGGGGAAAAAAAGGACAACTCTGTTGGTTGGCTGTTGTCTGTTAAATAACCCAAACTCCTGTCGTATCCGGATACAACATTTTAGTATCCAGACTTTAGAAAACGAGTATAGTATC